ATTTTTTTATATTTACATGTCTAACACCTTAATCACTAAATCACATCAAAAATACCATTAATATTAACTTACCTAAAGTAAAATGTACATTTTCAATCACATATTTTAATGTGATTCAAACACTAGTGTGTTATATAAGTAAATATCTAAGAAAATTGTGGTGTGTATGTAAATCCCCCTTTATTATTTAATTATGTCTTAATTAAATTATAAATAACTAAATTAATGTACAAATAATAGTTAAATGATTTTTTCCAATGTATTTAAACAAGGTTCAATTTTTAAAATTTAAACAACAAGTTCCATATTCAAATATAATAATAATGGATGATACTTCAAGAATAATAGGATATAATTGCTTGTCTTTCACTCCAATAATTGTGTAACATTTATACATCTTGGAAGAGCTTCTAATAAGAAACATTAAAAAAATAATAATAATTATTATATAATAATTACAAATTGTAATGGATTCATGAAATATTGTCCTCAATAATCCATTAAAGATAATGTTAGCAAGTCAATCAGCTGTAGTTACTAATGAAATACATATTAGAGCACTATTAAACTGTTCTTCAATATAATATCCATCAATTTCAACATGCTTTATTCAGTCAAGATTCTATAAAAATGTGTACAAAATGATAGCCCATGTCAAGTCTAGTATTCGATATTTGGATAAATCTTCCCGTTAATCTTTGATAAAAGATTTTTTCAATTGTTATGATTTAGAATACCTCCAAGTTATAATTAAATTCCATGAGGCTCTTGACAATTTGCATCCTAATTTAACCGTATCTTCAACAAGTTTGTTATATTTTTATATGTGAAATGAATATTTCATGTCAAGAGTTTACAAATTTATGTTAAGAAAGTATTTTAGTTTGCCTCATTCTTTGCTTCAAATTCTCCGAGCAACTTTTTTTTTTACTTCTTCATCCATTCTAAGTTACTATTTATCATAATTATATTATCAACATAAACTAGTAGTACGAAGATTTCCGTGAAGTAGTGTGTTCCATAAATAACATATAATCTCTTTGACTTCATTTATAACCCATATTGAAAATTATCTTAGTGAACAATTCAAACTATTCCCTTTGAGATTCTTGAAACCAAGTAATATATCTTTTGTATCTCACATCCCTTTTATTTTGTATTTGAGTCAAATCTAAACCCTCCATACATACATTATTCTCTAAGTTAACATATAAGAAGGTATAATTCACATTGAATTGTCGTATCTTCCATCCCATATTAGCTGCTATAAACTCTAATAATATTTATTTTAGCAAATGGAGAAAAATATTCAAGATAATCAATCCCATATATATAAATGTAGGTATTAGGCAGCAATTTGCTTTTATACATTTCTAGAAAATCAGTGGATTTTTATTTTATAATGAATACTCGTCAAGATCCCACTATTTTTTTTCTTTTTAATAACTGCATCAATTCCCACATTTTAGTTTTTGAAGGGCTTCATTTCTCCTCTACAACATTATTTTAATTCATAATATTTAAAGCCTCAAAAACTGTTTCAGATAAAAATAATAAGCAAGCTAGTAAGAAATGATTGATAATCATAAGATTTTTTTTTTTTTTTGTATGATAAAAGCAAGTGCAAGACATGTTCAGGAATGGTTCTTGGACCTGGTATAAGTGCAAGACATGTTCAGGAATGGTTCTTGGACCTTCATTTATAGAATTAATGGTTTCCTCGACAAATTCAATGGTAGGGATTAATACGGTTGATGGAAATTGTGTAGACTGAGATGCATTAAATTTTAAATAAACCTATAAAAGCAAAGTAGAAAGTAGTTCTCTTATAGACTCGGTTTGAGTAGAATTGACTAGATCTAGAGTTGTTCACTTGGATGAGTGATAAGAAATTATATATATATATATATATACTGCGATAAGTAGTAACAAAAATAGTGATCTTTTTTTATTGAATATGACATTTGTTGTCACATGTACCTTTCTTGTGCAAGATAATAGCACATTTAATTGCTCAAATACCAATTTGGGAAATTTTTTAGAATGAATTTATTTTAAGCTATTGAAAACGAGATAGCATGTGTTTAAGACATATGTAAGGCACTTGAACTCAAAGACTTTTCGAGGTAGCCCATTATAATATAGATGACTATTAAAACTGATTTTTCCTAAGACCATTTTGAGATATTTTTATAAAACATGCCAGCTTTTATGATAGCTAAAAGGTGATCATTCTTTCGATCAGCCTTTGCATTTGTTGGGGTGTATACACACAAGAGGTTTCATTTATTAATAATTTTTTTTTAAAATATAAAGAGAAATAATGTTAACAATAGTCATTGGCATTATAAAATCTAACTCATCACCAAATTGATCGTTGATCGTGTTGAAAAAGATGGTACTTACATCACATTTGGCTTTTAGTAAAAAAATTCATAGCACATGGGTGCAATCATCAATAAAATACGCCAACTATTCACTAGATTTTTTTAATGCAACTTGATAGATTTTATAACATCCTTTGATTAAAATTAAGCTTAATATATTTTTCAAATGTTAACTATTTTTATTAAAGCTAGCCATTAGAGATTTATTTGGAGAGTTTTTATTAGCCATTAGAGGTTAATTGGAGAATTTGACTTGTTGTTGACCATTTGAATGGCATTTAAGGTAGGTTTTTTATATATATTTGGTTATATTTTTACAAACTATAAAAAAGATATGCTTTAGTGAGCCAAATGTTAAATACAAAAATTGTAAAAATCTTCTCATACAACTTCTCCTCAAAGCAACATCGTTTCTTAAAATAAAATTTAAGGGTCGATCTTAGAAATTTACTTCTAATTTTCTCATATAGATTTACTTTTACACTTTGAGCAATCATCAAGTCTATAAGTTAGGATATAAATGAACTAATGCACTTGATGAGCAACTCGAACTTCGCTTGATTAATACCTGATCATGTTTGTTAAAATTAGTAAATAAACAAATTTGAACTTTTCTTTTTTAACTCGAAGGTTAAATGAACCAAATTTAAATAGAATCAACTCATTTATTAATGCTCACGAACAATCACATTTGTTGTTCAACAAATAATTTAATAAATGTTCTATGTTTGCTCATATATTATTTAAATAAAATTTGATTAGTTAAAATTTATTTATTTAAATATTTAATAATAACATATTAAAAATTTGTATACATATAAATTTAACACAATTTCTTCTTCTTTCTTAACGAATTAGTTACTACTTATTTATGTTATTTGATTTCAAGAAAGTTTACTTTCAACATATATATTATTTTATTTACTTGGTCTAAACTAGTTAGATGTTAATTTTAAATTTATTCAATTTCTTATTTATTTAGATTTATAAAATAATTTGTTAAGATCTTTATATAAAAATCAAGTACTAATTTAAATTTTCAACTGTCTGCTAGCTTTATATAAAAAAATAAGTACAAATCAATTTTTTTTTTATTTTATATCAAAATTCAAATAAAATTTGAATTTTAAATTGTTAATTTTATATAAAAATCAAATATTCATTTGAAAGTTAAATTTCTTTAGTTTATATAAAAAATCATGTATCTATTCAAATTTTAGCTTGTTCAATTAATATAAATAAGTCAAGTACAAATCAAGTATAGTCATTAAAAAAATTAAGCAGCCAACTATAAACATATATATGAATGCTCCGCTCAAGATCGAACTTAACATGAACAACTTATCATTTGACCAAGCCGAGTCCAATCCATGACAAAATCGACTTAACTCGACTCAATTACAACCCTCTTTATAAGCAAGTTGCAATATTTTTGTAAACTTAGTTTTTAAGTCGCTTTTGTCCATTAAAGAAGAGTATAGATTGTAAAGACTTTCTCCACCCTAGGAAAAAAAAGGATCTTATGGTGGTAAGATTGAAATAGTAGTCTAGAGGTCTAGAGGAGGATGCATGCGATGGAAAAACTTCATAAAAATTTTTATATGATATCTCTTACTACATTTAATTTACTCTTCCGACTTAATCCACAAATGACAAAGGCAGGAGTCTTTACATGATAGTTTAACGGTTCAGAATGTTGAAACATTGATCCCAAATTGCTCCAAAGTTATTGTCGTTGGCATATTTTTATCCTTTAAACTACCAAAGCTAATGACTCTGCCTATAGTGCCATAATAAGCAGGGCCTAAAAGCTAAGAGCATCAGCAATTTTGCTGAGGCGCCCAGGTATGTGTTTGAGCAAAAATGTGATTTTTTGTAGAAAACGAGCCCATCATGCATGCATCCTAGATAAATACTTTCCAGATTTAATATATTTGAGGGCTTGGTGATTGTTGCGTTGGACTTCTTTGGGAAATAGATAATGCTCATAATGCCGAAGTGCTCGGATGACAACATACAATTTTTTTTGGTATGTTTGTTCACTTCCGACATGTTTCACTAAGTTTCTCGCTAAGAAATTCCAATGGTAATCCCTTTTGGGTAAGAAAAACATCAATCTAGGTCGCACAAGAATCAGATTCAACTTCAAAAAACTTGATCAAAGTTAGGGAGTACTAAGACCAATCCAAAGCTTAGCTTCTCCTTCAACTCTGCAAGGCTCTTATCCCTTCAATCCCCCATTTGAGCCTGCCTAACTAAATTGCAGATTAGTTCTAAATTATCCCAAACAAGAAAAGACAAATTATCTATAGATTTTGCTAGTAACAAGTTGCAGATTAGTTCTAATTTACAAGATAATTCAAACTCTTCCCCCTGAATTCATTTCATATCAACTTTAATTTAGAACTGTAACAGGAATCTGCACCAGGTTAAGTCCAGATGCATTTCAGTCACTTTGAAAGCATCCTATATGATCCAACTCGCAGTTGATTAATCAAAACTTATCACAAATCATGTAAAAACTCCAAAATAAAAGTAATAAAACCATAAAACTTTAGCTCCATGTATGAGTCCAACTCCAAAGAGAAAATCAGCAAGATTGAAGAATTAAACCTGGCTCTATAAACGCATCATGAATCTTCCCCGTAATTTTCTCAGAACAGTATTCCGAGCATTTGTGGTAAGAATTGGAAGCGTTAGGGCAACTTGGATTCACCCCCTTTCTCTCCGACATCTTTTCCCAATCCGAACTACTCCCACCTACAACCAAATCAGATAGGCAAACAAAACATCAAAACCTAGACAAGAATCAAACCCACCAGAATTCGAGCACAGAGAAAACACATCGGCAGAGAAACCTGATCTTTCTCCATCCAAGAGCTTATTCACGGATGGAATCTTGTCGAGACAGTGCCAGCCGCATTTATGGTAGGGATTGCGTGCGTCGGGGCATTCGGGATTCACATCTCTGTCGTTAAAAGAAAGGAATACAGCAAGGGGTAGCGCCCCCTTCTTCTTCCTCCTCTCGCGTAACTCATCCGCAGAGCCAAAGCTTCCTCCTTTCTCCATTCAAAACCCTTCCAGAGCTCTTCCTCCTCTAGAAACACAAAATGGGAACCGGAAGGCGCCAGATAAGTCGCAGGACAGCCGCAGAAAGGGGAAGTTCGGAGAAGACTTTGAGAGATTCAGCTGACTATGTCGCCAACTTGGAATCTAAGAAAAGTGACAGCGCCCAAAAATTGAGAAGATTATGGAAGTCAGCCGACTAAAGATGAAAATGGAGTTAACTTGAAAGAATCAGGGTGGGGAGGTAAAGAAACAACGTGGGAGGAGGGGAAGAAAGTCAAAAAGGGTTTCAGAAGGGCGAAAAGTGAAAATTGAGTCCCGGAGGTGACGGCATGGGGGATGTGGAAGCGGAAAAGTGGGCTTGTTGGAAATTGCATGAACTTTGGGTGGGTGAAAAAAATAATACTAGAACATTCTTATGTAAATTTAAAATTTATTAAAATGTTTGGGAAATTTACATTGAATATGTAAATTTACATTGAATATGTAAATTTCTCAAACATTTGGTGAGTAAATTCCCCAGCCACCTGATCGGACGACCCATATGGACCCCCCTTGATCATAGAGGACTTTTAATGACTTGAGGCCCTTAATGACCTCAAAATTAAGGGAGTTTAGACATGTGGGATTACTATCGTCGAGATGCTCAATTTGAATATAAATGTTTCAAATTTGGAGTTGATTTTACCATCCAATTGAAGATTTGAAATCTTCAAAAGTGATTTAATGGTTTGATTATGACTGCTTTGGAGATGTGATTATATTTGATACGAGCTATAGGTTAAATAAATATAACTTATGTTGTGCTCCTATTGTTGGTGTTAACCACAATTGGCAGAATGTTTGGGAAATTTACATATTCAGCCCACAGGTTATATGTATTTACATATATCATATTACGTATATATTCGAAAAGGAACCCGGTGTTTGGCAGAGGCTTAAATAATGATTTCCCATGCGCTGGGCCCCATGATGTGTGCCTAAATATTCGAGGATCTAGTGCCACTCACGATGGAACCCGTGCCCTGAGAGGACTTACCAACAAATAGGTCACGGCATGAGAAATTTTCAGAGACTATTATACGAGGCTCTAGTCACTAAATATGTTTAACAATTCAAGTATCAACCTCATTAAGGCTCACGTTGCCAGAGAGGGATTTGAACCCCCGATCTAAGGGATCTTACACCAAAGATGCCAACCAGCAGACCGGGATACGCGACATCTATATATATATAATATTTAATGACATATTTTTGTTATGTGTATATGTATATATATATATATATATATGGAATATTTATGGAATTTATATCTATATGATATAATTTTTTAAAATATTTGTATATCTAATAACAAAATTTTATATTTATATTTATAATACTTTTTACATCATAATGTTTAATAAAAAAATATATTTCTTATTTTTAGAACATTAAGAATTGTAATAATTTTTACGTGATATCAAACATTTGAGTGCTATGACTATAATAATAAAAATTTAAGTGTTACATACAAAAATACTTTAGAATTGTGTGATATATATGCTCCTAAATTTAAAAAAAAATCATATCATAAATTTGGCAAACATAATATTAATTATTAAGTAAATTTACTAATTATTATTTTTTTTTATAATTTAATCAAGATATTATAAAATAAATTTTTTTTAATCTATGGGATTAGAAAAATAGTTATATCAAAGTATTTAGAGTAAAAAATAGTTACAATAAATTTCAAATTTATCAAATTTACCATAACTATATATAATATAAAAATATATATATTTATTTATGCATTACATTTAATTTAAGGTAATTCTTATAGATATTATAATATGTTTTTTTCTTAGAATAGCTCTTATGATATATCCACTTTATATTGACCCCCCTTGATCACAGAAGACTTTTAATGATTTGAGGCCCTTAATGACCTCAAAATTAAGGGAGCTTAGACATGTGGGATTACTACGCCGAGATGCTCAATTTGAATATAAATATTTCAAATTTGGAGTTGATTTTACCTTCCAATTGAAGATTTGAAACTTTCAAAAGTGATTTAATGGCTTGATTATGACTGCTTTGGAGATGTGATTATATTTGATACAAGCTATGTGTTAAATAAATATAACTTATGCTGTTCTCCTATTGTTGGTGTTAACCACGGTTGACAAAATGTTTGGGAAATTTACATATTCAACCCACAGTTTCTACGTATTTGCATATATCATATTATATATATATATATATATATATATATATATATATATATATATATTTAAAAAAAAACCCGGTGTGTGGCA